GTTTGTTTGTTTGTTTGTTTATTTGTTTGTCGCAAAGTTTTACCCTAAAATGCTTATTACTGTCTATTTTGAGCATGCTAAAATAAAAAATTTGTACTGTTGAATTTATGTTTTTTCCTTCCTGAAGTCATTCTTTAAAAATAATTTCATTTTTTTCACCAAGTCAAATATTTGACACCCTGTTTATCGTCATTGTATCAACCCAAATTATGAAAAGTATTTATTGAAGAAATTAGAACATTAGTGCCTGTAATACGTTGCAGCAAATTAAAAAATATCAGACGTTTTAACCTTTTTAGAAGTGACGATTTAATACCTTTTTTTTTGTTAATGTGAAAAATGTATGATGGGATAATCTGATGTGGTTTTGATCTAGATTAAAAATTGGTCATTTGGTCCATTCTTAAAAGAAAACAAAACAGCTGAATAGTAATAAAAAACACATACTGTATATACTGTACATGTATAGTGCTGTACCAGCCACAAAACCAGAAAATTGTGCACTAACATCAAAAACAACAAAAGACAAACTACAAACAAATAATAATAAATCTTGTTATTAACTTGTTTATGGACATCAACAAGGTTAGACTAAAGTGGGGGTAATGCTATTTATTTCTCCTYTTTTACACGTTTTCTTTCTTTATGGCCTTTATTGTCACATAATAATGCAGAAATGTGTTTAAACTGATAATCATATTCTGTTTTACGCACACTTTCCTGATTGTGCTGACATTGTTTGTTCTKTGTCAGTCAACTGATCATTAACCACCTGCACATCTGCTTCTTGTTTTCCCCTCATTAAATTGCACTTCACAGCCCTACACTTACCCAGCACTTTATTTAACGAAGTCAAGCCAATTAAAAAGCTCGGCTATAAATGCTGCTCTTAAAGCTCTGATTTTGCTTTGAATTAGTTCTGATGAATTAATACCTTGTGGAAACGGAAAAGCTCTAGAAGCACAGAATGTACATCATCTGGTAAATAAACACATTTGAGCATTTTTTAAATTTCTCATCCGTTTTAATTCACTAAGAGGGAAAAGAAATAGAGCGCAATCTAACAAGCTGCTTCAAATTAAAGAGCTTGTTTAATCWAATAATTTGATMAAACAAGCTCTTTAATTTGTGTCCCTCTTTAAACTCTTTCCCTCATCTCCTGATTGTATTAAGTCAGGTAACACAGTCTGTAAGGTTTGAAGTTTATCAGACCTTATCTCCTTTAAATGACATTGTATTGCTTTGTTATCTCTATTGGCACCTGCTACTCAGTTACTTTAGCTAAAAAACCTCCTGCTGTAAAGTCATGAACACATGTCTCTCATTCAAAGTGCTTTACCATCCAATATGGTATCTAGAGCCTTCTTATTGTTCTTTATTTTTCTTCTCTCAGCATTTAGTCATTAAGAATCACAATAATACTTGTTAATATGTGATTTTTATACCTGCCTGGTTGCAATCTGCAGCCAGCCTCACATGGATTTATGTTGGCAAAAATACAAAAAAACTTGTGTGCCAGTAGTGTGCCTTAATGTCAACATTTTTTGAAATTATTTATTTATTTATTTATTTATTTATTTTATTTATTTCGAACAGACATTAAAACAACATGCAAAATTTTATATTTTCTGTTCAAAAAGGAGCAGGTAGAAGATACATCTTATAATGTCCTGCCCCTTTCCTACTTGTCAGTGTATTATCAATTAACTTTCAGACCTTCAAACAGAGACAACTTGTTTCCATTTTACATCATGTTTAACTATGTAGAATTATTTTAAGTACTATTTATATCATCAATTACATTATAGACTATTGAACATTAAACATCTTATATAGCATATTTTGAAATGAGCTCTGCTTTAATGAGTTTTTTTAAATTGGTTTACATTTGTAATTTTTTTAACTCATCATTCAATCCATTCCAGACATTTACTCCACACACTGATAAACAAAAACTCTTCCTGGTTGTTCTAATATGTTGTTTTTTWAAATATCCTTAACCTCTTAAATTAAAACCCCCCTCTCTGTCACCAAACATTTCCTGTATATTGTGTTAATAAACAAAATCCGCACAATATTTTATTAATTTTGATATGTCCTTAAGTTAAACGTTTTGTTTGCAAAACTGGTGAATAATTGTCAGGTCTTTTGTGTTTAGCAGCAGATTTTAACTCCTGTTTTCCACCTAAATGTCTACTCAGAGTTTCTGTTTAATTCTGTTACATTTGTTTAGGTGAACAGATTTCACTCATTATATTGCAGCATAATGACTCAAGTTTCCAGGTTGTTTTCCATGAATTCAGCTGTGTTTACACTGGGTGTGTACCTGCAATTTAAAAATGCACATACTGTATATACTGTATATTTATTGTTTGTCTCCGTGCACGGCYTTAGCTCCGAAGCCTCACAGCAAGAAGGTCCTGGGTTCAGACCTGGGGTCTTTCTGTGTGGAGTTTGCATGTTCTCCTCGTGCTTATGTGGGTTTTCTTTGGGCACTCCCCCACTCAATATATATA